CAAGTGTAATTACACAAATGCTTATAGTACTAATGTGTGCGACTTACGTCTTGTTTAAATGCACATAATACAAAAGTGTGCGCCTGACCTTTGGCGACGGCGCGTGCGGATTGCTGCTGGGGGGTCACCTCGTGCGCGTTGTGCGCAAGTGCCGCTGGCTGCGTTGTCAGCCCGCGCGCGGCGAAGCGAAATCAATAAATAATCGCGAAACTTTCTCTTGAAATAAAGAAAAATCGGCAAAAGACGCGAATTTAACTAATTTTAAGTTGACGGGCGTGAAAAGGGAATCGCCTATGCCAAGCACGGGGCTTCCGGCGTGGTACCTGGTTAATTTTTGTTTACGCCAGGGGTGTCCAAACTTTTTGCAAAGAGGGCCAAATTTCATAAAGTGAAGATGCCCGGGGGCCAATAGTTCCTTCTGACATTTTTTTGCCACAAAAGTTACATGAAAACACACACTGTTATAAAAAGAAAATCATTGTCACAATTACCTTAATTTTTCAAATGACAATGTAACCAAATATAAGCCACTCAGGCAGACGTGAACAACTCTAAAAACGCAATTCTGCCTTTCATTCAGTCAGATAACATTGAACAAACTGTATAGCATACCTTGAGTTAAATATCTTAGCCTCATGAACATTTTAAACAGGAGTTATAAGTAATGCAAAGTGGTCTGTTATCATTAAACTTTAAAACAAGTGAATTTTGCCCTTGTCTTTTACAAGATCTTTCAGAAAGAGTTTGTGTCACATCTACAGGTAGATAACATCAACAGTTATAACCAAATCTTATTCAAGAGTTTAATAAAACAAGTGCCATAAGTCCAAGTGCATTAGTGTGCTTTAGGCTTTTCACTGTTAATAGTGACAGATGTTCCCGTTCAAAACACTAAATTTCAGATTGATCAAGGAACAGCCACCTCACATCGTTGTGATGTATTACGTCACCGTAGAAGTTATTCAAGAGCCAGATAGCATTAGAATGGTGCTGCCACCGTGTGGTGAAAAGAGGAATTTATTTATTCTGACAGAGCTAGCGAGCCATAAATTACACATTATAAATTACACATTATAAATTGCACATTATAAGACCGAAGCTGCGGGCCGTATGAAATCTGACCGCGGGCCGGACTTTGGACATGCCTGGTTTACGCGAACCCCACCGTTTGAGAGCCAAATCCCTCGCAAGCGCGTCAACACTCACAGACAGAGACACAAAATGACATTTATATAGGTAAAAAACAGATTATACGTGTCTGCTACGAAGAGGGTGGGAGGATGAGGTGAGGAGAACGAGGTGAGGGGTGAGGACGAGGTGAGGAGGACGAAGTGAGGAGTGAAGATAACGAGCAGATGGGTGAGGAGGACGAGGGGTGACGAGGCGAGGTCAGTAAGGGAGGTGCCCGTCTCAGGAGTGTTATATTTGTCGCTTATGCTCGATGTTTGATTTGTGACAAACATTGAATAAAATACTTCATACATCTGGAATTATCGTCAATTATTCGTGTCTGCTACATCTACCTACACGCGTGCGCGTATTTATCCCAGAGGGATCTCATGAGCTTGACGTTCTCTTTCACACACGTCCAGAAGGGGCGGGTCAGCCGGTTGCATCAACAACAAAATGTAATAAAGGATACTAGAGTCAGGATTGAAAAAATGTAATCAAGTCACAAATAAATATGTAGTGCAAAAACAAACTGTGCAGCACATACCTTCCTGTAGATTTGTCAACATCATATCCAAGCTTGGGCAAGACGGCAAAACACCGACAAAGGAGCACACCAAGATCAGAGACAGTCGCCTCGTGAGTGAATTTCACTGCGACATTGAACTCTCGACACGTGGCGAGGAGGCTCCGAGTCTCAAGTCGCAGGGAGCTTCCTCTGCCCCCATTGGGTGTCTGAGGGGGCGGGGTTCACGGACTCTGGCTCCGCCCACAGTAGGCGGGGCCAATGACGTCACCTCCGGCTTTGACGTCACTCCGACAGGGCGAGCGAGCTGAGCGGCTGCTTCTATCTCTTGCGCCCCCAACAGGAACTATGAGGTTCTTCAAGAGAGCGCAGCAGTTGCAAGCGACGCTGGAGACTCCGAATTCGTCAACAGTGGAGGTGAGTGGCGCCACCTCTTGCCTTTCAGCGGCATCGGAGTTATACGAAATAAATACCGTGATCACATCGAGAAAAAAAAATATCGATTTTTTCTGTTATTTAAGTTTCACTTTGAAATTGAACGCTTGATACGTAGGTAAGGAGGTTCATAGTTTAATATCACAGATTGAGAGTTTCATCAAGGATTTTAGTCGGAAGGAGCTTTCTCTGGGCAAGGTGGTCCTTGTTTGCGTTGCCATGGTGACAGCATCTCGGACCAACTGCCGTTGTCCAGCAGCTGTGCCTGGGGGTCACGTGGCATTTGGTGACGCGATAAGGACGAGCCGTAGGCTCCGCCCATATAGGGTTGGCTCCGCCCACATAGGGTGGAGCCAATGACGTCACCACTGTAATGTATGTTACGTCATTCATATCGGTTTTTGGGTGAGATCGCGTTATTATAAATGTGTCGCAACCCTCCACCACCCGACACGGCCAATCAGTAAAAAAATGTGTCACGTTAACAAAACGCCAATTAGTTACTTCAGCCCACCGGTGTGTTTGAAGAGTGAATCCACAACATTTAGAATTTGAGTACGACGTTTCGCTGGTAATTACATTACTAATCTTGACTTAGGGGCCGTCCATAAATGACGTCACGCAATTTTGGGCGATTTTTAACCCCCCCCCCTCGTCACACGGCGTCACCAAAAGTCAGACCCCCTCAAATATGACGTCACATAGCTCTGCCCCCCCCCCCAAACCATATTTCCATTTTGAAAATAAAACATGCTTTAAATCACTTTAAACTATCGTCATTGTAGTGCGCATTTAATGTGGCGCTACACTCTGATGTTGTCGGAGAAAGTATGTATTAAAAAAGTTGTTGGAAAGCTGAAATTTAGCATAAAATTCACTTGAAAATATTCAACGTCCAACTAAAACTGCAGATGTTCAGAATATTATATTGAAATTCTCTTAGGATTATAAAATTTTAAAAGTAATTATGACAAAAAAATTACTTGAAACTGTGCAGTAGAACGAAGCAAAATGGAGAGTACAATTATAACAATCCCATATTCATTTCACAGAATGTTTTGATGGCAGAGTTGTACTTGGCAAGAGAGGGGAGACAAAGCTAGGCTGGAGTGGAGGCCACCGCTGGAAATCTGTATGGAATTAATACAGGCAGTCCTCGCTTAGCGCTCAAGATGCGTAGGTGGAGAAGTGAGCATTCATCATAATAAAGGCATTCATCGAATCAGCGCTTGAAGGGTTATACCATTGTACATATGGGGATGCCTTCCCTACAGCGTTGTCTCGTATGCACAATAAACGAGGGCTTCATTGGGGTGTCAGTATCAGCGCAATTTAATTACAGTAATAAAACAGATGGTAAACATTATATCAAAACAAATATACATTTTTTATTATCAATAAGTATTATGTAATGTACTCGCCTGATGCTCACCCACCTCGACCGGCCTTATCACTTGCATGTTACCATTCTAAGTGATACTTTTCCTTGACCTGTTGGTCTCATTTCCAGCACTAACATTTGCAGGCCTCTTTCCAGACATTTTGGGGTTAAGATGCTCACTAAAAATATGAAAACAAGGCAAAGAGAGACCAAGGAAGAGCAAACACGTCGGCGGACCAGGGTGTCTTTTAAAAACTGGCGAGCGCTGCGTGGCTCAAAGCGTACTGTGATTAAACTGAATAACAAATATTGTAACAACATTGACAAAATTATAAAAAAATGTTTTTATGTACTCGTGACCATACATCGTCATAATTGAATCGTGGGGGTTAGTTGCTGGTTGCCCCAGAGCGTTAGTCACTCTCACTGGCTGAGCGAATGTAAACAGAGATGGCGGTGGGTGCGTTTCTGAGACCAACGCTGCTGCACGTTCTACCACGGTGTTTATGGCTGTGTGGGGAATAGTGTTGTCTTGCGTGGGTGTGTGGGTATCAGCGTATCTGTCTACTTCACTTGCCATGTGCCATGGTGTTGTCTCCACCATCCGAAGTCAAATGGCGTCCGTCACGATGCGAATGAAGGCAGGATTTACAGGGAGGAGCTAACGTGCCCATGCCATGTGCCCTTGCTCCAGTCGCAGTTGCCAATGCCGGAGAACGAAATGCTCCAGCTGTCTCAGGAGGTGTCGAACCTGCGGGCCAACCTGGGCAGGGCACGAGCGCATTTTAACACCCTGCGTCGTGCACTGAGCCAGAAGGATAAGAGCCTTCACGAGATGCTGCACCAACTAGAGAACCACCGTGCTGAGGAGGTACCGTGGCCGCCGCCAACCCCTCCCCCGTCCCCTTGTTGCACGGAGCGCGGCTAAAATTAAACGTGTTCTCGTTGTGAACCTGCGTGGTGCACAAGCAGGGATAACAAAACCTCAACATATTCGTCAATAAGACTGCAATGAATATTGCTTTGAGTTCTCTGCTCTAAAAAAGGGCCATTGCCTGAAACGTCACCATTTCGTTTTTGATGAATGTGTTGAGTTTTTATTCAGAGTGCGATCTAAACGTCAAGGAAATGGGCCATTAAATAAGTGCATTCTGGGAGGTGGCTGGGTGCCCCAGGGGTCAGAGATGCTGTGCCAGCACTGCTGAGATGCCAGGATCAAATCCAGATTACAGCCACCCAACCGCAGTGATTTAACCGGGTTCCCAAGCGTAATGAGTTGGTGGTCTCAGCCTGACCACCAATGAGTGCACAAATAAACCCAACGAATAATATTTTGGTTCTGTACTTAATTTGGCTAAATTTGAATCCTAATACTGTTGAAAATGAAAAAAAGCAGATCAAACACCATTTTTGTATCATAGCATCTCCCCACAGAATGTGCATGTAGTATATTTTACTGATTAATACACCTGTATGGGGCTGACCAGCATGGGGAAGTATAGTAAAACACATCCCCATGACCGACATGGCATTGTGAGTTGTTCTGAATATTGACTCCATTTGAAGATGATCATTTGGGTGCTCGGAATTTATTCATAATCTTACGATGAAGAGCATTTCCATGTTGTATGCATGCTTACAAATGGTTGATATATCATGCTTATATTTTTGGAATTTCTTTTATTATTCGAATATATTTTATATTCTCTTTAAACCTCATTGTGGTATGTTGATTACGACCATGGGTATTTACCCGTGGTCGTATTGTTCACAATATAATCTAAACTTCTTCTTTTTTCATTTTGAAAAGCATCCATTGCATGTGTGCGTACCCATCTGCGTGAGTGCCACCTATATGGGCACATGTGCGTCTCTGTACTCGATCTCTGTGTCTCTGCATGTGTACGTTGTCTCCCTGTACATGTAATGCCTGTGGCTATGTACATGTCTCTCCATATGCACTGTGACTTTCCGTACATGTGTCCAATTTTTTACATGTGACTTGCTTGTGTCATTACGTGTATATGTCTCTGTATGTTTGTCATTTCTCTGTTTCTTTTCGTGTGTCTCCTGCCTGTGTCTCTGTCTCTATTTCTCTGTACAACTACATACTGCGTGTGTCAGTATGTCTCTACCTGTCCTCATCTGCACGCTGCACGTGTCTGTGATAAGGGGCTGCCCACCTATGCATACACGTGCCTGTGCCACTGTGCCCATCTGTCCATGAGCAGCTACGGGCGCACTCACAGGCCATCGACAGCCTGCAGGCGGAGTTGGAGGCAGCGCGGCGGGGTGAGCGGGAGGCCGAGGAGCGTTCCGTGCACGACGCCAAAGCCGCGTCATCGGAGCTGGCAGAGTTCACGCTTAGGACTGAGCGGCTTCAGGAGCAGCTGAGACATGAGCACGAGGAGACTCTGAATCTGGCACGCATGGAGCTGGCCGAATATCGTGCATCGCACACGCACGCCGACTCAGAGTACGACGCTCACGTCGTGCACATCGCGGTCCTGCAGAAGGTGAGGCCTCCACTCTCGCTACAGCCACCCCCTACCCCCCCCCTACCCACACTCTAGCTCCCTTGTCATTCGGGGCCATTGATTGGTGTCCTGGAAAATACTTGATAAGCCACATAATCACTTAGAGCTCTTTTCATAATTGGCCAAGGTTCATCCATTGCTGGATGAAGGTCTCCCTTAAGCCACCACCACCTCTCACGATCTTGCAATGATAACAATCCACTTAGTACCTGCACACAATCAGATTCCATCGCTCCATTCCCAGGCTGACCATCCGTCATCCCCTTGAGCAATGTGTCCTGCCCAAGCCCACTTAATTTTCTCAATATTTTGGGTGAGCGATGAAAAGAATTATGAATGTATTAAAATTACATGTAATTATGTGTAATATAGATACTGCCCGTCCTCCGCCCACAGGAGCTGAAGGAGCGTGACGAGCTGCTGCGGCGCTCTGAGGCCGACCTGGTGGTGGCACAGGAAGTGGCACGAGAGCGTGGCACTGAAGCCGAGCGGCTGGGCGCCGAGGCCGCGGAGCTGAGTGTGACCGTGCGTGACCTCTATGCCAACCAAGAGGTGCAGCAAACTAAGGTGGACACCCTGCGGGATCAAGCGCTGGAGTTGCAGCAACGGCTGCAGGAGACCAACACTTGCTTCGAGGAGACCGGTGGGTCGGGGCCTGTGCTCCCAATCTTTCTAAATCCACGGACCCATTGAACACTCATTTTTGTAGACCACTATGCACCAATAACTTATTTTCACGAGTTTAAACGAGTCTAAGTCCTAGAAACATTTCACACGTGGACCACTTCCATTGTCTAACATAGTAGGACTGCACTGGGTTTACTAAATGCTCTCTCACTAAGTCCTTCCTGTGCATGTATTATTATTTTGGACCCTGTTTGAATGCAAGCTGGTGAATAAGTTTGAGGTACCTAATCCCTCTTAGCCCTGAGTCTCTGCTACTACTCCCGCTGCTGTTACTCTTCCTCCTGATGCTTGCTGCTCTTTCTCCACCTGCTGCCGCTGGTGGCTATACTGTCTTCATCGCCGTGGTTTTGTGTCCCTTTCGACAGCCAATTCTCTGAAGCAACAGCATGAGCGTGCGGAGCTGTCTCAGGCAGATCTGGTGGCGATGCAGGCACGGCTAGGCGAGCACAAGGTGGAGAGCGAGCGGATGCTGCAGAATGAGAAGCACCGTGCCCAGGAAGAGCTCGCCAACACCAGGTGCGTAGCGCAGGCACCGGTGGCAGCGACGGTGAGATTGGAGACATGGGGGGGCGTGTTTAGGAGGGTGCTCGGTGGGTGTGGGAGTGATGGAATGGCGGTCCGTAGCGAGGTGGCAGAGGTGAGTGGTGGTGGAATGGCGGTAGAGTCACATCAAGGAATCATGGCACGAGAAGGACAAATACGTGCAACGTCCAAGGTGTTCAGATCACGCATGTGCGAGCGTGTGCTTCCGAAGAGCAGAACACAGGGTAACTGAGGTTGAGTGATGGACATACGGGAAAGTAGAAAATCAAGGAACAATTTGTAATACAATCCACGTTTGAAAAAGTTCCCAGGCTGCTCTCCTTGTAGCACCAGTCGTACCATGGCCATGCAATTTCTTTTACTGAGATTTAGTGATCTGCACATATGCACCGTGGCCTTCAGCTTACCGCTTCTCGAATGCTCATTCTCTTCCTCTTCACTCCCCTTGCCCCGCTCTTTCCTTTACCTCCCCGACCCATTCGTGATCCCGAAGTACCCTATGTCACGGTCTCTCATTCTTTAACCCTTGTATGCCCCTACCATCTAAATGATTAAATTCTGTCACTTTTTTTAAAATATGTCAAACGCTTTGAATTAAGTCGCTCTATAAATATACAATTAGATTAGATATATAGGATAGTGCAGTGTGAGATCTTCCATGGTTCGGTGTTGGATTCTCAGTGCGAGTGAGCGAGCGAGTTAGTGAGCGTGGGAGTGCCCGTGCTTGACGCCGTGCTGCCTCCTTGTGGTGTTGTACAGGGGCAAGATGGAGTTCATCAAGGCCGAGCTGGGAGTCTCCAGGGCACAGGAGGCCACGACGGCACAGGAAGTGGTGCGGCTGCAGTACACAGTTCATCACGCGGATGCTGAGATGAATTTCATGCGCGGCCAGATCGACGGGCTGCAGCACCAGGTAACCAGAGGCTTAAGCTGCAGTCCCACACCTCTATTTGTGTGCACATGAGTTCGCGTTTAAAGTCAATCTTAAAAAAGATATATATTTCATGGAAGCAGGTTCTTAAGTACGAATGTTCGTAAGTCCAGTGTTCGTAAGCCGAGGACTGCCTATATACACTTATTTTTCACACTGATGTATAGATGCGCGCTGGGTTACTGAACATCCTCCGTTTAGGGACTGTACCACATTGCAATCCATCATCCCACCTCTAGTAGAAGTACCTACTACGACTAGACAATCTCCCTGTTGCTACGTGCATCTCGATCCCATCCCTTAATTTTACCTTTTAATGCACCTTTTGGGTTAATTCATTAATATATATGAGCTTTTATAGGTGTTATTTTGGGTTGTATGGATGGTGGTCGCCCATCCAAGTGTAATGCGGGCGTAAATGGGCGGGGCGGATATGACGATCCGAGAGGGAGGAGTCAGGGTGACGTGGGGGATAAGTTATAGCGGGGAGACAGGAAGCTATCTGGGTCAGTCGGGGGAGTGAAGGGTGGTGAACACGTTGGGTGGTCGCCGTGCCTCAGCCTGGTGGCTGAGGGGCTCATGACGGCGCCAGCCAGCGGGGTGGAAGAGAGAGTGGAGGATTGAGGTAGGAAATGGCGAGATAGCCATAGAGGCCACGAAGGGCTGACATTGGGAGGTGGCGAGATCGCCACGCACGGAGGAACAGGGAGCAGAGATGGAGCTGCTGGGGGAGCAGCCAGAGGGCTGTACCAAGAGCCTGCAGCGGAGCTGCAGGAGCGTGGAAGGCTACGGGAGCGAAGGCAGATGTGGGGCTGCCAGGGAGAGAGTCTCAGGAGGAGTGCCGTGTGGGAAGGAGAACGCGAACCCCAAATAAAGGACACGGAGTCAGCAAGAAGTGTCTGAGTCCTTTTATTACACTGGAGTCAGAAGTGAAACGGCATCTCAAAACAACTGAGAGAAAGAAGAAAAAAAAATATTCCTGCTACATCATCCGACGACGACGACCTTCCTCAGACAGTGGACCTGCCTGCGATGGAAGAGGAGATCCGTTCTGGAACGAGTACGGGTCCGGGTGAGCAAGGTGTCGCCGCGTCGGTGGACCTGTCTGTGCCGAAGGACGCCAACTTACGATGGAGACAGATAGCGATGCAGATGGGGACCTTGAAAATCGTGCTGGCGCAACTGTGTGAGTTCACCACGCCGAGGACGACGTCGGGGAGGCCCGGTGGTGATCCGCAGGCCTCTGCCTTTCCTGCGCTGCCAGCGCCATTGCCACGTGGCACGAAGACGCCATCTTGGGCGTGGCAGGGGAGAAACGGCGGGAAGCCGCCATCTTGTCTTCACCGCGGCGGGAGGACGCCGCCATCTTCAACATCGCGGCGGAGAGGCAGCCTTGCGCTGCCATCTGGAGGTGCCGCGGGGTGAGCAGCCTGCTGTGAGCTGCTGTTTTTCGAGGGGGTGCTGCGAGGAGAAGACGCCGATGCTGCAGCTGCTGGGGCGGGAGCTTCCCGTCCTGGCTCGGGTGCGTGACAACGGAGCCGTCAAGTCGCCGAACGAGTTCTGCGAGGCGTCTCAAGTTGCCACCCTGCCGTCCTCTTCTTGCTGCAGCCCCGGGCGAGTCATAACGATACGCACCCGGCCTTAACACACACCTCACTCATCTTTCGAGGGCCGGGGGGGGGCTATTTTGGTTTTCTCTTATGACTCGATTGTGCAGAGCGCGGTTCGGACTGTGTGTATGTGTGTGTAATAACGATGAACGCGCTATCTGCTTGTTGCTTGGGGTCAATATAAGTGTGTGCGTGTGTTGAGAATGGACGGAGAGTCTGCTGTATTTGCTGAGTGTCAAATTGTGTGTGTGCGCTGCTGCGTGGAGTTGTTATCTTAATGGTGAAGTTAATTATTAACTTGGGAGCGTCGGGTATCTTGCGCTGTATTATTTGTGGGTTACCTTGTGCGATGGGCTTAATTGGAAAAAAAAAAAAATATTTTTTTTTGGTGTATTGTGCTGCGAGGTGCTGTGTGCGATGCGATTGTTGCAAGAGAGAGAATAATTGTGTTGTTGCTGCAAAGTTACGACAGGATTAATGGTGTGTTGGTTGCCTGCAGATCTGCTTGCTATTGTGCTTAAATGTACGCGTGTGATCGCGATATGCTGATTGCATGTGCTGTTATACTGTTCTGTATGGTTATGGGGTGCGATGCAGTGGTTGATTATTGGAATTGGGATTGTTATTATATTGTGCGTACCTGTTGGAAATTGGTAACAAATTCGAGGGGGACCCAAAAATTTGGTTGTATGGTTGTTGTGCACACGAGATTGCGTGTATATTATAGAGGGGGACCATAAAATTTGGTTGTATGGGTGTTGTGCACACGAGATTGCGTGTATATTATAGAGGGGGACCCAAAAATTTGGTTGTATGGGTGTTGTGCACACGAGATTGCGTGTATATTATAGGGGTAATTGAGCTTTTTGAGAATGAGGGTGCGCGATGACGCCGTTGTGGGTGGTTTAGATGTTAATGCTAATGGGATCGTAAATTGGCGCCAAGTGGCGTCGCGTATTCGGTTGATCGCATGCAGCCACGAGTTGCTTTGCGAGTTGGGTTGTGTAACCAATGTGGTTGGTAAAATATTGGTTAAAAATTCCACGATATGACAGCTGTGCGCAGCAAGCTGGGGCTGTGCGTCTATCGTTGGTGGGGTTGTTATAATGTGACGGGAGATGCGTCTTGTGACCCCCAGCTAAGGGAAGCTGGGGTGCACGAATGGAGAAAACTGGCCACGTGTTCGCACGTTGGGCCGCCATTTTGCGCGCACGCGGGGTATGGCGACGATGCGCTTTGCGGAAAGGGCCGCCATTTTGAGTGCGCGCGAGAGATTGCGCGAACGCGCTGGGCGAAGGGGGACGCCATTTTGAGCGCGCGGGATAAACCGAGGTGGGGCAAATATTCCATCTGTTATGCCTGCCATTGTTGATTGGGTGATGCACGAGTTGTGGTCACATCGGCCTATGGCTGATGGCTGACCTGACAGCCCGGAGGCGAAACCTCCGTGGTATGTCTTAAACTAATGGGCCATGTGCTCATATGGCTCGGGGAGTCATGGTTCAGTTGTGCGGTGGCAGACTGAACCTGGTGTGCCGGGGGCTCACGGGATCTGGGTTAGGGTGTTATTGTCTCTATAAGAGAACATTGCCCCGTGGGGGGAGTACAGGGGGTCTGGCATTGCTGGGGGATGAACCTTCCCTGGGCTATAAAGCATCGGACTATACGAGGCTGGTGTGTGTCCATCTCTGATGGGATAGTAAGGGAGGAGCATGGCCGAGTTGCTGCTCATCCCCGAAATTGCACTAGCTGAGAGTATGGTCAGTGGATGTTGCTGTGGGTTGACGACCACGGTGGGGGTTAGGGCGAGTTAAACATTACCGCTGGGGAGCGTGGCTCTCTCCACGCGAGGGTGTGCGATTAGGCGTTTTGTTGGGTTGCTGAGAGTGACCGTGGGTACATGCTGTGTACGTGCGATGTCTGTGCTGGTCCTCAAGGGAGGACTGCTGGTGGGTAAGAGCAGAAAATTTTGTTGTTGTTGTTGACGTGTAAATAATATTGTTGTTAAAATGTAAATAATGGGGCATCCATTGCGTTATTTTGGGTATTTATGGGGAGTTTTTTTAAGCGGGCTGGATTTACATCATCTCCACTACCCTGAGGCCGGGTGGCTGTCGTGTACGACATGCGGATGTGCGTTGTTGTGCTGTGCCTCAGGGGATTGGATTCTCCTTCTCGTCACAGATTCTTCAGCTCCCGTCGCACTGGGTGTTACCTGGTGTGCTAGCTGGATGAGGACTTGAAGGAGCAATTGAGCGCCGTTCGTCATTCTGCTCTACCACTTGCTCTTTGACGTTGGACTTGAGCCGAGCGGATGGAACTGCAACATGGACACGCACTAAAACATCACATTCTGGGTTGTGCGCGTTGGCCGTTCTTGCGTGTCAGTTGCCGTTGTTGTTCATTGTGCCATTCTTATTCTTGTTGTTGTTGCGCGGAGGACAGGCCGGTGTTCTGTTCCAGTTCCTGATACCTCCCCTTTCGTTGCTTGTGTTGTTGTTGTTATAATCTCCGTTGTGTCTGGGGGACTCCTGATTGTGATGCCTTCGCCCGCATTATTTTGTTCTGTTTCAGCCGAGGACGGCTGGGATTTTCTCTACGGGGGAGGGTAGTGTAATGCGGGCGTAAATGGGCGGGGCGGATATGACGATCCGAGAGGGAGGAGTCAGGGTGACGTGGGGGATAAGTTATAGCGGGGAGACAGGAAGCTATCTGGGTCAGTCGGGGGAGTGAAGGGTGGTGAACACGTTGGGTGGTCGCCGTGCCTCAGCCTGGTGGCTGAGGGGCTCATGACGGCGCCAGCCAGCGGGGTGGAAGAGAGAGTGGAGGATTGAGGTAGGAAATGGCGAGATAGCCATAGAGGCCACGAAGGGCTGACATTGGGAGGTGGCGAGATCGCCACGCACGGAGGAACAGGGAGCAGAGATGGAGCTGCTGGGGGAGCAGCCAGAGGGCTGTACCAAGAGCCTGCAGCGGAGCTGCAGGAGCGTGGAAGGCTACGGGAGCGAAGGCAGATGTGGGGCTGCCAGGGAGAGAGTCTCAGGAGGAGTGCCGTGTGGGAAGGAGAACGCGAACCCCAAATAAAGGACACGGAGTCAGCAAGAAGTGTCTGAGTCCTTTTATTACACAAGCACCATCAAAGTTAAACCGTGCTTTTCTTCTAAAATATATTGGGTGTATTTTGGGTCATTTGGTCATGGGTGGTGTGGTGTATGGACATATGTGAAAGAGAGTTTCATAGCTGTTCAGATTCCTATATTTAAAATAAAGATACTGGTTCTGTATGTCTGCGTTGTATCTGAATGTTCTATAGTAACTGCACGCAGTCATTAAAATGCTTTGCCGTATCCCTCTGCTGCTTTATGGCCGTGGCCCACACAGCTCATTGAGAACAACAATCAGCTGGGATCCCTGCAGGCGGGGATTCTGGGCTACCAGCGCGTGGTGGCGGAGCTGCATGCTGCGCTGGCGCCATCCCACGAAAACTTGCAGAGCTTGCACGTACAGCTCCAGGATCTGCAAGTGCTGCACCAGCAGAGCGAGGCGAAGGTGAGCGCACAGCATTCGGCGTCACAAAGATCCCCCGTATAGCCTTAATAGACTATTGGGGCAAGTGCTGTTAGCGAGCACCTATGAAGGCCGGCACGGCATGCGAGAGGATGTGTGACCAGCACCATACCCATCTGCCTGTGTATCCCAAGTGGTGATGTTTACACACCATCTAGGTGCTCATTTGAGGCTGAATCGACCTAGGGGAGGCCTAGGAACTATTCAGAAAATTGTCACTAGTGTTGGCCATGAGTGAGAATTTAACTCGGGTCGCTGGGTTCGTAGCGCAGCGCGCAAACTGCTAAAGTGCCGCTCCCCACGCACTCAATTTCACATACACACACTTGTGTGTGCACACCCACTTTCACTTCCAGCACGAGGCTGACTCATGACATCTCATGGAGGATCGCTGCAATGAACAAAATAGTTCCACGGTTCAGTTTGCAAATGCGAGTTTGCATTTTAAGTCAATGGTAACCGAAAATTAATACATTTCATGGAAACAGGTTCGTCAGTCGGATATCCGTAAGTTGATGACTGCCTGTATACACTTCTTTTTCATACTGATTGTACAGTATGGATGCGCACTGGGTTACTGAGCATCCTCTGTTTTGGGACTGTACCACGTTACGATCCACCATCCCACCTCTAGTAGAAGTACCTACTACTACTACGAGACCATCTGCTTCCCTCTGCTACGTGCATCTCACTCCCTGTTTTTGGTTGGAAAGCCATCTTAATCTGAGATTGTAATGCAGCTTTTGGGTTAATTCATATATGTAGGCTTTTATAGGTGTTCTCTTGGGTTGTATGGATGGTGGTAGTCCATCCAAGCACTATGGAAGTTCAGCCATGCTTTTCTTCCAAGATCTGAGGTGATTGGGTGCATTCTGGTAATTTGGTCATAGGTGGTGTATGGGCATCTGTGTAAAAGAACTTCATAGCTCATTACATTGCTCAATTATAAATAAAGATTCCGATTCTATGTGTCTGTTGTTGCATCTGTATGTTATACAATAAACGCACGCAATCGTTAAAATGCTTTTCTGTTTCTTTGCCGCCGTTTGCCCATGGCCCACACAGCTCATTGACAGGAATTGGCAGCTGGAATCTCTGCAGGCAGAGATTCAGTGGTATGAACGTGTGGTGGTGGAGCTGCACGCCGAGTTGGCGCCCTACCGCGACAACAGCCAGAGCGCACACTCAGAGCAGCAGCGTCTGCAGAGCGAGGTGGAGGTGAGCGCACAGCACTCGTGCGTCGCACACACACAAGTATATAATTTGCGTTAAACGTAAATAATATATTCATACACACGATTCAGTGTATGATGATAATGAGCTGGTCTAACCATCTCGTTAAGTCGTCATAGTCCCCGTTTACAAATACAGATTATCTATCTATAGACACAATTCCATTATTGCTGTAAACAATAATAACGATAAGAATGATTTAGCACCTTTCTGTACACCGGGGCATCTCAGAGTGCTTTACATCACATCTCATCTCAACACGTTTGAAGGGAACCCCTCAATTACAGATGTCCCTCTGGGCACAAGGTGACTCAGCACCTGGCGTGAAATTGGCATTTGTCTGCCAGTAGGGGGTGCTGATTGTTGTGTGTAATCCCAGTTGAGCTGGTATATGTACTTAGTTGTGTGTAGTGTATAATGGGTCGGTTTGTCCACAGCTTCCTACGGTTGAGGAAGAGGACATCTCAATCTGCTCACTGGAGCCCGGCGTTCAAGAAGCCTCCCAAGACCTGCCCCCCAAGGCCTCCAACACCCTCCGCGCCTCTCACATTGACTAACACACACATATCGACTGACACACACACATATCGACTTACAAATACACATCGACTCACACACATGCATGGACCTAAACACACATGGACTTACACACACACACATCGATGCACACACACACACACCGACTCACACACACACATGGACTTACACACACAATTTTATACGGACTTATACACACACATATCGACTAAGACACACACACGTGGACTATACACACACATGGACCCCCGCACACACATCGACTGACACACAGACTGACACACACACATCGACTCACACACACACTGCCCTACCCACACATACACATGGACTCACACACACAGACATCAACTTTAGATACACACAAAGACAAAGATCCCCCGTATAGCCTTAACAGACAGGGGCAAGTGCTGTTAGCGAGCACCTATAAAGGCCGGAACGGCACACGAGGGGGTGGGTGGCCATCACCACGCCCGACCACCTTTGTCTCCCCAGTGGCGATGTTTATGCACCACACCAGGTACTCATTTCAGGCTGAGTCGACCTAGGGGAGGCCCAGGACTGGTTCAGATAATCGTCACTGGTGTTGGCCGTGAGCGGGAATCGAACGCGGGTCGCCAGATTCATAGCGCAGCGAGCTAACTGCTACACTACCGCTCCCCACACAAATAGACAAATATCCCCCGTGTCGCCTTAAAAGACTGTAGGGGCAAGTGCTGTTAGCGAGCACCTATGAAGGCAGGCATGGCAAACGAGGGGTTGGGTGGCCAACACCACGCCTGGCCGCCTTTGTCTCCCTAGTGGCGATGTTTACACACCGCACCAGGTACTCATTTTAGGCTGAGTCGACCTAGGGGAGGCCAAGGACCGGTTCTGATAACCGTCACCGGTGTTGGCCGTCAGCGGGAATCGAACTCGGGTCGCCGGGTTCACAGCGCAGCGCGCTAACCACTACGCTACCGCTCCCCACACACTCACACACACGTAAACGTACACACACATCGACTCGCACACATATGGACTCATCACACACACATACACATCGACGTACACACATATCGACTGACACATGTAATATAGCTCGCAGAGACGGCGTCTCTCTTCTGTTTGTTTATTATCAAATAAATATCAACCAATAACTCAATGTGCAACTGCGAGTGACTATATACACATGGGTGTTTCACACGACACGATTCTGGGATAACATAACCTCTTCTTGTCAGACAACTCGCGGACGATGAAGATGGCCTGGACCCAGATCACGACGACGCAGTTCCCCACACCAAGCAGTGCCCTGAACCTTCACTCACACTGCTACTTATCCTCACCGGGCCCGACCACACCCTATGCCTTAATCCAATTGGTTCCCATCTAAGGAATGCTTATTAACTCGTCCTTCCCTACCATTGGCTCCCGTCGCGTGAATGCTCATGAACTCATTAGCAACCATGGTCCCGGTAACCCTTCCATTAGTAACTATGGTCCCGGGGAGCCCCACCGTCTGCTATCGCCCCGCACTGTCATTACAACACCCCCCCTTTGCAACGTCAATAACGGCTTCCGAACGCCGAGATGTAATAATTTGGTTTCGCGTACCTCTCGAGTCAACGCACCCCGTAAAACCGTAAGAACTACCAGGCCGTAGTGTTGAAACCCCTCATTCCATCTCATAAGCATCCCGTCCCTCAGCACAATCTTTGAGGACATCGCCGAGCTAGGGTTCGTTCGTTTCTGCTCCGCACGCCCCCGGAGTCGCAACAAGGACGCGTCATCCGTTTGCAACCGACCCCATTCGGCAAGCGTGAGGCCCAGCGTTCCATCTACCGGCGCAAAGTTACCAATGGCTGCTGCGCTCTCCACTGACGTCACTACCCCGGATGGCTTTGCGCCCAGTGGCTTACATCGTCCTGCGCCCGTTGAACAAGCACAGCCCTCCCCCGTCGGCATTCGGGATAATGTGTCCGCATTACTATGCCGCAACCCTTTTCGTTAAATCACCTAAAATTAAAATTCCTGTAATATCTCCAACCAACGTGACAGTTGGCCCGAAGGTCGATCCACACGCAAGGAGTATTGAAGGGCCGCGTGGTCCGTGTGGACCACGAATTCCCTACCGTGCAGGTAAGGCCTGTACTGTTGCCTGCGTCAACGTCGCATGGGCTAACACCGTTCCCGCCTGAACCACCACCGGCTCCACCCCAACATTAAGGACTTGTAAGAACGGCTCCTGACCGCCTCGCAACAGCGTCAACGCACCCACCAATCTAAGCCCCCGGGATACCGCCTTAGACGGGGTAAGGAGGACACCTGCCTCCAGGTCAGACAGGTCCAACCGTCTACGGTAACGCAGCGAGACCAAATCTTGAGTACTGGGCGGACTCTCCAAAGTTTCCTTAACCAGAGCTTCGACCGACAACCCCTGTATTTCGCGTCTATGTGGGGAATACAAAAAAAACCGCCGCCCTGACGGCATCTGAACACAAACCTGTTCGGTGAAAATCAGTAGGGGCATCCTACTAAAAGAAATCCGTGCCCAAAAGGCAGGGAACCGCTAATGTTTTCTAAATTAATACTGGCCCTGGTATCTCAATCTCCCCCAATGAAATGTGAGCATCTATTTGACCTAAAACACCCATACTTCTCCCGTACGCCACCACGCACACGTCAACCACCGGCGCCGCACGACGATTTGAAAAAGGCAACGTTTCGAAAACAACCTTCGATATGATAGTAGCCGAGGCGCCCGTGTCAACCAGAACCCGAACGTACACCCCTTGTACACGCCCGACGATAACCGACGTGCCACTCTGCGTGCCAGCTGTCGCCATTGCGTGCGCGAGTTTGGCCACCCCTGCATTGACCAATCGATCGTTGCCCCCGACTAGAGAGCCCCCTTGTCCCGACGAGTGAAATCTGTGTGATTCCTATCTGAAACCTGATTTCCACCACCATCTGGCACATTAGAATTCCCTCATCAAAACACTACACCATAGGGCCCACTGCATTTCTGACCAACACCACCTAGCCAGTGAACTGGAACACGTACACCAGGTCCTTAAGATGAATGGATATTCGGACCGCATTTTATGCAAAGCTGTTTCTCCAACCATGGAGAAACAACCCCCTGAGACGCCGATCAAAACTATCACGTTACCATACATAGCAGGCGTTACCAAAACGATTTCCAAAATCTTAAAAAACACAAGATCCAGGTCCGATTCAGGACAGTACACAAAATTCGTGATCTAATCCCATCTGTGAAGGATGTCATTCCTGACATGCAATATCCTGGAGTCTACAAACTAAGTTGTACCTGTGGTGATGGGGAAACGAAACGTCATGTCTCGGACCATGTTCGCGAGCACAAGGCAGATCTGAAACACCAACTAATACCTCCGCCGTGGCTGACCATTGCTATAACGCTGTGGGCTCTCATGATATTGTTTTTTCCGAGACCAAGGTGCTCTGCAAACCCTCGGGCAACTATCAAAGGTTTGTTCATGAAGCCATCCAGATATATAAACATAGACATAACTTCAACCAGGAAGATGGATACAGATTGAGCAATCATTGGAAGGATGTTATTAACCAGGTAAAACCATAACTGCTTTTGGCCTGCCTTCATATCCGCATCTCCAGTTTTCTAATCCTCCCACTCCGAGCCCCGCCCACTTCCCCTCCCAACCCTGGCATTTTTTTCCTTGCTCCTAATCCCTCTAGCAGCGCTCCACTTCCCCTACCCCACACCCCCTCTCTATCTCTCCTCCCTGGCTCCTCCCCACTCTCTTACCTGATTCCAAAGAACACAGGATGAGATGTTACTATCCTTTGTGCAAGCACTTCCAAGAGTTCATGAACAGTGAGCCTGGTGAAATTGGGGAGCGCATCGTCAGTAGTGACCCTTTGGTTCCTAGGGTGTTTCGGCCTTTCATACTATACACCCTCCCCAAAGGCGGCCAGCGACAGGGTGATCAATCCTACGCTTGCGTCCCATTCCCAATTAGTCATAGGAGTTGCCTTGTTGTTGATAGCCAACATCCCATGGGACTATGCATGGCAGGGGCGTCCTCCTCCCTGAGTCAAGCATTGTTGACTGCATACCTCCTGGCCCTCTCACTTTGGGGCCCAGCTGGGGTCTTTCCTCTTCATCCAGAGCCACTGACTGCTGCCTTCTGCCGCCTCCGATACAGCTCTGATTGCCGAACGCTGGCTCTGGCCCTTAATTCCCAGGTCTCTAAGCAGTCTGGTTGTAGATGTTGCCACAAAATCTCTGCAGCCCACCTCCACTGGTCGGACTTCTGTGTTCCAGCCATGATGCCGTGCTTCGGCAGCTAGATCGGCATAGCGCAGATGTTTTCGCTCATAAGCCTCATCTACTGAGTCCTCCCAGGGTACTGTGAGCTCAATGATGAAGACCTTCTTGAGCGAACGGGACCAGAGCACCAGCCTCTTGTCACGACAGCCCTTTTGCCCACTTCAGCAATTGTTTCTTGCTGTGGTTGTCCCACCTGATGACGGACGCTTGTCTTGCGCCCGAAACGTCATGATTTTATTTATTTTATACCTACGTGACTTTACCGAAATAACCAAAGATCCCTGCAGTCACAAACTTAAAATCGAGATTTAACACACACACATCGACTGGCACACAGACATATCAACTCATGCACACACACATCGACTCGCACACACATCGACTGAGACACACACACATGGTGGCAGACACGCACATGGACTCACACGCAGACAAGAACTTAGACACAATAATAAATATATTAAGACTGACCAATTTTCGAAATATTAGTTGTCAGCATACAAACTAAAATATTTGTAGATTTCCAAGGTATTATCACAACCCACCCTCACCAGCACCTCCTCTTCTTCCTAACAGGGCGTTGCGGTTTAATAAACACATTCCTGTGGAGGGAGCTGGTAAGAACGTTGGGTTGCTCAGTCAATGGCCAGGGTCAACGGCGGCGTGGTGTATTCCGTAAATTTGGCCCACCCCCCACCCAGTTCCACCCAGCCCCTCCCCACCCTCCCCTCTCCACCCAGCCCCACCCCTACCATTTTTGGACGGACGGACACAATAATCCCTTGTGGGCTGGTGTAACAAGGAGGTTCCTACCAGTACAAGCTTTACTACCCAGCATCGCCCGAGACTTGGATTCTTGTCTTGGATTAATACACGGCCTACGCGGAGGGTTGGGGGACGGGGATGCATGACGTCAGCAGTCACACTGTGTAACGTTTTCGCATGTGGGTGACATCACAGATGTGACGTCACCGCTGACTTGCCGTGCAAAATATATCCATTATTGCGGCCCCCCCCCCCCCAAAAAAAAAATTACAAAAGTCTATTTTAATATTTTTTCATTGTGTACAGTCGGGAAGCTACTGTGATGCCACCACTACGGAGTCGATCGGCGGGTGCCCCCACCTACGATCTCGCCGCCCCGAGCAGCGAGGGCGACGCTGCTTCCTCCTCACCACCTCCCACCTAAACACACACTCACGCATTCCCCCCACACATAGAGCGCGAGAAGAGATCCCCTGGCTGACAGGTTTTAACCCGGAAGCCCTCGTATAGGGATAATCTTCACGGTTTCCTGCGGCCAGGGAATTAGACGGTCTCCTCCGACGCTAACGCACACCGCGGTGTCGTGACTCGAGTGGAAATTACATGGTCACGACGGGGCTGTCCCGCCACCATGGTTGAAACGCACCCCCCACACACACATATCGACAAGGCAGACAGGGGCGCGCAGCCATGAAAGAAGGGAGAAGCCAGGGGGGAGGTGGGGGGCGGCTGATTGGCAGAACAAAGGCGCCATGGACCGCCGCCAGCGCCGCAGTCAAGCCAGCAAACCCATTGTTAGGGAAACCTTGGAGTGCGGCTGATTAGCGGGTACGATGTGCTCGGGAACCACCGGCGCGAAGCCGTCCACACCGAACCTTTGTTACGGAAGCCGCGGCTGATTGGCATAACAAAAGGCGCCGCGGGCGTGGACGGGCTCATTGTTAGAGCAATCGGGAATGGGGCTGAATGAGCATGACGACCTGATTGGCCGAGAAGGCGCTCGGGTCGGCATTCTTTGATGTAGATGGGGGATAAAAAGGGGACGCAGAGAGGTAAACGTGCTC